TGTTTGTGACGAGTTTGTATGTATCATGCTGAATTGTTGGGGAAGTAGAATACATTACAATAATAATAATACGTTTTCAGTGTAAAATATTACTTACGTTGTTTAATTGGCTTTTCATGCTCCTTAACTGAAAAAAATAACGTAAAGTGTAAAGTTTGACGTAATAGTGTTTTCAGATTATTCGTTGTAAAAATAATATTCAATAATAGAACTTTCCTAATATGCATATGATGTGATGTAAATATGACGTCAATAGGTGTTAGCTATGTCATACAAAGGGACAACTCTGTAGCTGTATTGCAGTTCATCATTTATTTGCATCTCTCATTCAAAGAAAGCTTAGAAAGAACTCCCGTGTGCTGAGAGTATTGAAGACACATTAAAAATTAATTCAAAATTACTTGTACATGAGATATTGATAGAAAAGCTGAAAACTAATTATGTACATCAGGTAACTAATTCGAACAGAACAGAACAAAAAAATTATGAATTATTATGCTAATTAGAGAATTAATATGAACAAATTATAACCCAAAATTAATCAGGCCTGTCTATTGTCCTAGAGCATTTATGTACCAAATTTTATTCAAATGTGATGATCAGTAATTGAGATATCAGTGTTAATAAATTATGTTAATTAGGAGATTAATAAGCATAAATATTTACCAAAAACTAATTGGGTTTCTGCATAGTTCTCTTTAAAAGTTTCATTAAAATCCAATTTGTGGTTCTTTATATATCAGTGGAACATTATGCAAATTAGGTAATTAATATCCAATTAAGGTAGCGAGACTATTATTTGCATACTTGTATTCATCTTCTAATTGTGACTAAATGACTACAAATAGACCCGGGAAAGTATATATTTTTAGAATCGCCAGACTTCAAGCTTTTCACAAGTGTATTTTGCATGCCCGTATCTGCATTCTACGACGCGTTACTCAATCAAAGGTGAAAAATTACTTTTTCTGTAAAAAAAATAATTACGCATTTACACTGGCGATAAGAAGTA